TTTTCTTTAAACCACAGTTCTTTTCCAAGGGTTTTATTTGAACCGGGTGTAGTTAGTTTTTTTGGGAGTAGGAGCCATTGTGTTGTTTTTTGAAGTGAAGCAATATCTCTTGACTTTGTTATGCCTTGAGAATAGTGAGTACTTTGGTTGTGACGCTTAGGCTCAGTTTTTGACTCTTGTAGAAGTACCTTAAATTATATGATCTTAACTTTGCTTAACTGCTTTGACTAGAGTGTTTTGATGATCCAATCTTGAGTGAGTCATGTGCCATGTGTGTGTAAGAATTTGTTATATTCTGTGCATTGCATTTGATGCCTAGAACTTGTCTCGTGTGTTTGCAAAGCGAAATAGTAGTTTTATTCAGTCTAGGAAGTGATATAGGCATTTCTTTGTTGAGACAAATATGTATATTTACCCACCTAATTGTTATGTATCGTAGTTAACCCCTTTGAGCCTGTAATCTTGTTTCTTTGGCAACCACATTACAAGCCTTACCCATTTGTTTGAATTAACCATCTATTGAACCATTGTAACCTCTCATGAGCACTTGAATTGTTTATGAACTTTGTAAAAGTTAAAGTGTGGGGTGGTTGGTTTGGCTTTTGAGTGGAACTAATGAAATAAGGAGAAAGGGTGCACTGATTTGAAAAGCAAGAGCCTCTTGAATTGAAAAAGAAAAAAATATATATTCTTTGATAGTGGTGACTCCTGATATAATTGGCCTTAAATAATTTGGGAGTTGATGTATATTGATGTGAAGGTGGAGTTTGGCTTGACATAAGTATGGGGTTTGAATGTTAAAGTATATGTATTAAAGTGCTTAGGGGGGTATAGTTACTCTTATATCTAAATGTATCATACCCGTCCCGTAGCCTACATTACAACCAAATAAAGTGCTAATTGATCCTAGATTGAATGAGCTCCATTAGTAGAGTAGTACACTACGGGAAAGCTTATGGTGCATCTTTTGTGGCATATGAATGTTATGTTTGAGAGTGAGTGAATTCTTTCTATCTTGAGTTCCTAAGTGTTCTTAAATTTTATTGTGTGGAACTACTCTCTTTTGTTATGTGAGGGCACTTGATTCATGAAGGAAAGGTAATGTCAGTGACCTCTATGTTAGAGTAAGTAGGTGAATTGTGAATAATGCGTGGTACTTATGAGTCAGAGGTGAAGATGTTACGCTATTGTGCTTAGTCTATTTTAAATACTCTTGGTGTGATGAGTTAGGAGAATTGTTTAAAAAGGTCGTGTCTATAAAAAAAGGTGTAGTTTGATTGCTTGAGGACGAGCAATGGTTTAAGTGTGGGATGTTGATAATAGGTGAATTTAACTATAATTAGGCCCTAAATAACCACCTTCTTGTATAGTTTGGATGATAAAAGTGATAACAAAATGCTCTTATTAGTGTTTTTCATGCTTTGCAGGTTATATATGACCAGAGAAGGCTATGGAGTACTTTTGGGATCAAATATGGAGAAAAAGAGGTCGATCGTAAAATTCCGTCAAGTAAACCACGCGAAATAGCTCAAGTCAGAACTGAAAGAGGACTGACGCGGTTTCACCGCGACCGCGGCAGAAGGCAGTCGCGGACAAATGAAGAACCTGAGAGGGTGTTTGGCCGCGGTTCCGGCGTCACCGCGGTAGAACCGCGGCAGGATGCGTAAATTTCAGGGACCAAAGTGCAAAACACGGGATTTTAAGCCCTAAACCCGATATTAAACCAAGGAAGCCGGCCAAGAAAAGGAATTGGACATATATTTGACATAGATTTGACCTAAGGTGGCAGAGACACAATAGGAGCAAGGCTTGGGAATTCTTCTACAAGTTTTTTTCTTTCCTCTTCNATAGAAGATATAGCGGGACAGATTCCGGCAATTGGGGAAATCATAACTCTAGGCCTCCTTAATCTTGTCTCTAACTCTTAGTATCTTTAGTTGTTAATTTATTATTTTAATTTGTTAATCAATTAGTTAAACACAAGAATCTAAATATCTATAATTAAGGAATTGTTCAAGCTTGTCTTCTTGGTGATAGTGAACAGCTGTAGCTAAGCCTTAGTTCTATGTGGGATTCGACTCCGGACTTGTAAACCGAATTATATTTGCAACGACCACATTGTCCTTTTTATAAGGCATAGTTGGGCGTGATCAAATATCGTGATTGATCGACAGATGACTGCATTAAGTTGAGTGCTCAAAATCCATAGAGAATAATTAGCGAAGCTACAACTAACATAGCCAAAAAGAATTTGACAATTAGGGAAGCCTGGACCTCCTTAATCTTGAAAACAACTCTTCGTCTAATTTATTGCTAATTTCCCGCATTCTATTAGCTGAAAGTACTAGTTTAAATTGGAGATTATTATTTGATAATTCGGAAAGTTGATTCACTTGACTCTTGGAAATAGTGAAGATTGTAATAGATAAGTTAGTTTCCTGAAGATTTCGACTCCGGACTCTACGTTGAATTCTATTTGCAAGGATCATTTAGTCCTTTTTATAGGCATAATTTAGCATGATCACCTTGCCTAATAATAGTAGTAGTAGTAGGAAAACGCTTCAATTCTTTCTCCTATAAAAAGAAATAACAATGTAGAACGTTTTAAATGTAAACCGGCACAGAAAAAATATTACCAGCCATCTTGGAGACTCAGGGATGAAGAAGAGACCCAAAAACAGCAAGCCACATGGTACAACTCCTGAAAAATTATTAAGAAATTTAAGATTTTAAAAAAAAAAAAAAAAAAAAAAAAAAAAAAAAAAAAAGGATAGTGCAAAGAGAATTGCAGATTATGGAGGATGATAGCATTACCTAGTAAAGCTAGAATCCTCCACCCGACGAAGGCACCAATCACGTAGACGGCGGATAAACCAATTACAATTGAGAGCTACCGATTGAGGAAAAGAAAAGAAGAAGAAACTTTAATTTAGTTATTACTCAGATTTATTTATTATTAATAGTAGAAAATGTCATAAATGCATTTCTATGTTTTCTCACAATTTTCTTTTTTCAGAATAAACAAAAGAGTGGGCGTGTTGGTTAAAGTTTATTACGTTCATTGTGGATTTCGTTCCTATTTTTGGGTGAGGGAAACTACTTACGCACAATCGATATTTTCACCAAATGCATTAGTTTGTCATGGTTAAAAAGTATGTCAATAAAAATAATATTAATAAATCATGTTTAAGGAATAATAGTATATCTAAAATATCAGACACATGTTATGTATTAATTAATTTAGTATTATTGCATGAGTTTGAGTCAAAAACCATGAGACCAAGATTATAAATTAAACAAATAACCTTACCCAGCCATTGCTTATAAATTAAAAAATCTCAATTATTAGCAAATTCCTATTTTGGTACCAGTTTTATGTAACCTGCAATAAATAGAATCCCAATTAAATAGCCAATTTATTTTGTGTGCATTGATAAGTGAAACAGATAGAGAAATAAGTAGTTCAAATAAATTATTTAAAAAGCGATTTTTTTTTTTACTTATTTATTAAATGGGAGGCAAATTTACTTTTACATAGAAGGTAATTTGGTGCTTCAGTTTTTAAAAGATATTTTAGTAGAATAACTTCAACTAAAATATTTTATACTTATAATGTATAATGTTTAGATGGATTATACCTCCTAAACTGATGTTGTTCGATAACAAGAATTTAGAATATATTATATGTTCGCATGATATTTAATTAATTTCAGAAAAGTTTATAACATCTATCTGCTAATGTTTAGCGGGGTGCGAAACCCTAACTTAAAAGTTACTATATTTTTTAAGAAACCCTTTAGTTTTGGCATTTTTTTCTCCAATGTTTCATTTTTTTTTTTTTTGAAGTAATAACATTAACCTTATAGGTTTGCTTCGCGATGGAACTGTTACACCCCGTACTTTCAAGTTAGAATTCATCTTAAGTGAATCAATATGAGTCAGAGAATTGACGGACCTTTACAAAGATAATGATGGGGGTTGGAAGGTTAAGAAGTTAATCGAATCGAAGAAAATTAATTTCGTCGAAAGTCGGCAAGTTGGGAATATTATTACCTGCACTTGCGAGGTGAGACTAGGGTGCTTAAGATGACAAGAAGGTAATGTTATGAGGTATTAGTCGTGTGATAGTCAAGTGTTAAGTTTTAAAGCCAAGCGAGTTATGAAACAAAAGTTTAAAAAAGTTGTCGCAAGTTACATTCATTATTTTACTGAAAATTTAGGTCTAATGTTACTGAGATTTTCCCTCAATATGCTTGGAATTACAAGGCAATCTACCCACCAAATTGAAGATCTGCGAGTCTAGTTTTTAACGCATTAAACTGTTTGTCGATATAACGTAGGAGTAAAGAGATATTTGTATTTTCGCGAGACTGCGCAAGCAGCTCCTGTTGGGACCCACTTGAGACAGCCTGCGATCTTACTTCTTTTAAAAGAGGTTTCAGAATCATTTCGGCTCATTTCTCACCCAAAATTCGTCCAAAAGATCTCTAAAAACCCCCTCTAACATATCCCAAGATCCCAAGAACTATTCTCAAGGGAAATCAACTCAAATCATCATCAAAAGTGTTAAAGACTACAAGAGAATGCTTCTATAATGTTGTGGTGTGAATGAGGGATATTAAGAGCTAAGTTGATATGGGGTTTTGCATTGTAGCTGCTTTCCAAGATATATATAACATCTTCTTGATTGTTCCTAAGGTTAATCTTGTGTTGGTTGTGTTGTTTGAGTAAAAAACCATAAGAAGGCACTTCAAAGAACATATGTCATTATTATCTTTTTGGTTGGACTCTTTTTTGGCCAAATATGTGGTTTATGTTGGCACAAAATTATGAGAAATAATTTGATAATGTTGTGGTTGCTGTTATTAAGTTTTTCTAGGTGTTAACTAAGTTTATTGAAGAAGAAAACACGAAACACAAGTGATTGACGTCAAAAGTTAGGGTGCTAGGTGTAAGAGCCTATTTTGGAAGTCATTTTCTAGATGTTTTAAACTATTAATCATATAATACATATAAGTATGATATTATAAAGGTTGTGAATAATTTATGGAATAAGAGTTGGATTCAATTTATGTTTTTTATTAGTAAAAACGAGCCTGCCGCTCAATACAATTGTTAAGATAATTAGAGATGCTCATATAGGATTATATTGTTGTTGTTGTTGCTATTGTTGGTTATTGTTGTTGTTGTTGGACTATTAATGACCCTTAGTGGCCTTTGGGATGTTGTAAAAATAGGGGAGTTGCTGCCCAATTTTCCGTAAGCTATACGACAAACCAAATACAATGGTACTGCATTATACGTTGGCGACACTATCATTTTACTTGTTATAGCTGCAAGAAGTTGTGTTGAGCTTGGTTGAGGAATAAGAAAGAGATCATACAGATATGTTAAGGTACTTCCTTCTTTCTTTTGGTATGATCTAAAGTGAGATGAATGTAAATGATACGCTATTTCATAACGGATCTGCTTCTAGCAATTAAGGTTGTCCATGTTGTTCTTTCCTTCTAAAGTTATTCTAAGAAAATATGTATGATCCTTGAATCTTATTGAGGTTCATATTAATAGTATAGAAATCCATAATGTTAATCGAAGGTGCGATGACCTTACATCACTCTGAAAGGTTTAGAACATGATTTCAGAAGCGCAACATGCATTATATATATGTATCTATTTTACTCTACCGAGTCGCGCTATAGTCCGCGGGGTTGGGCACCTATTGTGCAACCACTGATCAGTTGGGTTTACTGAGCTTCACGTAGTCGGGTACGATTCTACCAAGCTTGATGATGGCCGGGTGCATTTTTACCGAGCCTATTACGGTCGGGTACGATATGATGATGGTCCCTACAGAGGCGAATATTTTTAAAAGCTTATGTATATATATGTATCATGCATTTCATGTCAGTATCCCCCAGAGGTACTCAGAGGTTACATGTTGTATCTTCTCTATCTCTCTTTACATTAATATTCTTATTTATGCTTTCTAGCCTTACACACTCGGTACTTTATTTGTACTGACGTCCTTTCTACCCGAGGACACTGCATTTCATGCCCGCAGGCCCAGATAGACATTTTGACGGTCCTCATAGTAGGCTATCAGCTCAACGGAAGATGTTGGTGCACTCCACTTGCTCTAGAGTTCCCTATTTAGTCGGTATACTTTGGACATGTAATGATTGGTATGGCGGGGCCCTGTCCCGACCTTTGTGATGTTTATGTACTCTTAGATTCTTGTAGAGAGATGTCATATATATGGATACTTGTACGACCTTGTCGGCCTATGTTATGAGTGTACAAATGATCATGTCGGCCTTATAGGCCCGTATATCACATGTATAAGTTTGTATATTATGTTGGGTCATCCTATGTCGAGTGTTCCCTTGTGTTTGTTTCTGGTTATCTAATTACGGCCTTTCTGTCCCACTTATCCATGATGGTATGATAAGAAAGATACATTACATTGGTACTCGTTCGAGTAAGGCACCGGGTGCCCATCGCGGCCCTCTGAGTTGGGTCGTGACAAACTTGGTATCAGAGCAGGTCTGTCCTAGGGATATCTACAAGTCGTGTCTAGTAGAGTCTTGTTTGTGATTGTGTTGCACGCCTCACTTATAAATAGGAGATTGCGGGACATTTAGGATTGTTACATTACTTTCCTATATAGATCGTGCAAGAAAGAAGAGTTGTAGAGAATCGAGTCTAACATATGCGCTGATATAGGGTGTACAATGATGTCATTACCTAGAAGAGCTGCAGCTAGGCGGATGTCGAGGAAGGATTAGAAGGGGGTATGAGACAAATCCCTCTATTGATATAGATCCGTATAAGGACCAGGGTGATTCACTCCCTCAAATATCCCCAATTCTACTAGTACTAGAGGAGCCGAGGGAGACTCAAGCATCATTAACTCTGCGAGTTCCACCATCGACCCTGTCTATATAAGAACTGCAGTACAGGTGTTGACACACTTGGTAGCCTCACAGGATTGGCATAACCCAAGGACCCCTGATAGTGATAGAGCCCTTGAAAGGTCAAGAAATTCACAACCTAAGGAGTTCAAAGAGCAAGAGCTGTCTATATTTCCAAGAGATGTTTCTGATGAAGCTATGGGATGGACTAAAAGGTCCATGACAGTTGATGGTGGTACGTTATAGCAGAATGTGTTTGCATAGTGAGTTGCACGTGATCAGATAAGTAAAGCAACATTAGACAACTAAAGAATGAGGCCCATTAGAGTATGAGAAGTCGAGAATCAAGGATGTTTTGTTGAAATTACTTCGAAAGAAACGACAAGTGGAATGTTATGAAAGGTTTGTGCGAAACCAAATAGAGAAATATGAGTGAATAGGGAAGACTATTAAGGAACTCTAAGGTTATAAAGCAACATGGGCCTCATTTTCATTAAAAGTGGATTATTAATTTTAATGGGGATTACATGAAGGTCAACTTAACCATACAGATGGGAGGTGCGAATATCGAAGGATGACTTAGGATGAACTAGACAAAGGTAACGATTAGAGACTCAAAGGACTCTCACACTACCTAGCCTTGCAATGATAGTAAGAATGAATAGCCAGAAGGAGGAAGAGGATTAGTGGGAGAAGAACCCTAAAAAAAATTGGTAAAGATATCCTTAAATAACCACGTGAACTAAAGTTAAACTCGTCAAAAGAAGGCATGCCAGTAAGAACATATGACTCGTTACATATATAGACCCCTATAAATTGTCTCATAGGAAGAAAGGTTACCCATAGGACAATTGTAAGCTACTATGAATATGGACCTATGGAAGACCAGAAGATGAATAGGACTTCAAGCATGAAATATTGAAGTATTTTGCTAATGGGGGAAGACGAAGGCACTAAGTCAAGAGAATTTTTGTTTAAC